ATTCTTTACTGCAAGAATTTTCTTGAAAGTGGAGTGATAATGTTGCTCGACATCTTTGAACTTTCCGCTGGCATATCCGCATATTTTTCTCTAGCCATCTTTTTCTTCAAATAGAACAACACTCCAATATTCATTGTTGGCATCAGTTTGCAGTATCTTCTTACCTTTTGAAGGGATGTAAAGGGACTTGACATCTTTAGATATCTCTTTTATTTTCCTGACTGCTTTATCTTGTTCCTTTCCCCATGACGGGGCATCTTTGTGAGCTGAGAAATGTATGTAGAGATATTTGGGATGAAATCTCTTATATAATTTACTACACCCAAGAACTATTGGATCTGCTTGTTGTGGGGCTGATATCTGGAAATTTGAGTAGTTCCTGACATATATGTGGTCCTGGACTGTATGCACATTAGACAAAATGCATTCCAGGAATATCAATCTCCTTTTGAGTAAGAATCATCTTTTTGGCTAAAAGTATAATCCCATACTGTGTTACCAGTGTCTCAAATTGACATAGCAAGTTGACATGTTCCTCCAATGTATCACTAAATAACATGATGTCATCAATGTAAACCAAAAATGTATGGATGATGGGCTGAAATATTTTTATCATGACTTTTTGGAACAAGGAGGGTGTAATTTTTAATTCGAGTGGCATGACTTTCCATTGGAAATGATGATGGGGGATGCAAAATCTCATGTTGGCTCTTTCTTTGGGGTGAATTCCCAATTGCAACAATCCAGATTAAGATCAAATTTAAAAAAATATTTGGCCTTGATTAAGTGGGAGAAAAGAGTGAGTTTAATTGGGATATGAAATTTATCATCTTGGAGGAAGTGGTTAAGATGATGGTAGTTAATAACTAACCTGAGTTTTCTCTTGTTTACTCAGCTCTTTTGTTGATATAAAATGCTTCGCATGCCCATTGTGAATCTGATGACTCTATTAGATCAAATTCTAAGAGTTCTTCGCACTCATTTTTTGCGAGCTGGAAATGATCTAGGTTCATGCCTGAATGACTGGCTTTTATTAGATTGATGTTTTCTTTCTTCTTGAAAGAGAGCTTGATAAAAAAACTCTTTGTTCTTCCATAATGGGCTTTTGCCTTTCTTCATAAAATCCTCGTGGGATTCAACACATGAATACTAAATGAGATTTTGTTCAATCTTTTTGATTTGTTCATCGATGGTGATTTGGAATAGCCTTGAAATTTCAGAATAAGGTTTGAACTGCTTCTTAAAGGTTATCCCGAGTTGATCTTTTAGTTGTCTGAAAATGTCAAATCCAACAATAAGGTCTTCTCTTGATACATCAGACACTATCAACTTGGTTCTGTACTTTAATCCTGAAAAAAACTCAATTATGATCGGGTGCTTTGTGATGACTGTGGTAGTTAGGATCCCATTTGATGCAGTATTAAAATCCTTAAAGTGTGGCACCCATTAATCTTCAGGGAGAATAGCTGAATTCATGAGTGAACAAGCAGCACCGGTGTCAATGAAAGTAATGATTTATGTTGGTTTATCCTATTTGGATGGATAAACCTTATGTTCCACCTGAGGGATGACTATGAGAATGTTGATCTCTTTAGCTGCTGGTTCTGAAATTTGGTAGTGGTCATCACCATGATCTTCGTATATATCAAGAGAGAATAATGTCTCTTCACTGGGTTCATCATCCATAGAGAATATGGATTCGTGGTCCTCTTCTTCTTCGAGATGTATGCTAGTGTAATCTTCAATTTCTTCAAGAAGTTTGACATATCTCATCGATTGGGATAATTTCTTGCGAAATGTCCAATCTTGTGGCAATAAAGCATCTGTTCTTTTTGTGTAAATTTCCTGGCCTCATTCGTTTGAAATATTTTGTGCGTCTCCTGGACCTTGATCTTCAATCTGGAATTCGTGCCCATCTGAACCTCCTGAATCCTTTCCATCGCCTTGATGTGTGGCAGGAACATCGTGATCCGGTGATCAGATCGGATCTGCGACATGCTTTGTCAAGCGCTGTATTGTGTTGGATAATTTGTTTTAGAGCAGAGCGCTTTGTACAAATATCCTCCAATATGACGAAAATAGCTTGCCTGATGTAGCCAGCTTGTGGAGCTATTATTGACTGAAACTTTTCTTCAATGATAGTCATGGTTCGACTTGCCAATAATTTTGGAAGGGAAGAGACAAAGGCTTGCTTCAGGTTGATGTCTCCGTCAATCTCGGAGTATTCCTGAGAACCGTGAAGTGAGTTCTGACAGAATTATATACTTTTCTCGTTCCACCAAATTTTTGGTCACCATCTTAGTATAGAAGTCTTGGATCCTTTGAGACCATTTTGAAACCTTTACATCATCCAAAGTAAAAGTGTGGAACCAGTTCCAACTGGTTTTGACGCCATGAGCTCATGTCTTCTTTCTGGGATTGGTTCATCTGTCATGCCTTCTTGATCCTCATCTACCTCAGATATCACCACCTTGCTTCCTTGGGTGCTCAGCTTTCTTAAAAAAAGAAAGAGTATTATCCTTATCAATATAGGATTGTCTTTCGTTATGTTTTTACTTATTTTTTAAAAGATCTTCCATCTTTTATGATTGTTTATTGTCTTTAATATCATCCGGCTTCACATATGTGGTCTAAAATCTCTCACTTTTAACTAAAGTTAAATTTGTATTCTGAAAATGAAGAACTTTCTCTAAAAAGTGTTTTACCCGCTGAGTTCGCTTACCTATCGTGAATTCAAATGAATCAAGCCAATAAGTTTCAAATATTGGATTATTAAAACATAGTACTCATTCTGACCCATTTATGTGTTACACCTTTTTTTATTCTATCACATAAAGATGTCATAGTTTTCTGTTTTAAAAAATAATTTAACTTTAATCATTTTATTCTTAATGAAATGATTCATAGCCACAAAAAATTATTTAAGGCTTGTTTTAAACCAAGTTTTTTTAAAAATTGTTTTTAAATTTCAGGCACCGTCAAACTATGCCACATAAATGAGAAAAATAAAATAATTATTTTATTATATCTTTAACAATAGATCCAACACCAATCATTAGTAGAAAACGCAAATTAGTTCATGGAAAAGATTGAATAACTCGTGTCATATTTTTTTATTTTGTTTTAACTTGCTTTGATACTTTAAATCACATATTTTCTAAGAGTAGTATATTTCCTCTATCTAAAAATTGTTTAAAAAAAAAAACCTTTGGACATATACTCATATCTAGTGCATAACAAAATCAATAAATATACCAATTAAGACGTGTCTTGCATATGATGTTAAATAAAGTTCTTTTAATTCATATTGCCTATTCTTATACTCCATGAAACAAACAAATTTCAAATATTAGATTCAAATNATATATATATATATATATATATATATATTTATTGGGAAATAAAAATATGATGTGACACCTCTTATATGCGAGGAAACCTATTTATCTCTTTTCTCAGTTTTTTGCTCTTTTATCCTATTTTCCATCTAAAAGATTGCAGAAATATAAAGTTACCAGATTTATTTCTTTCGTTATAATTGTATAATTATTATTCCTTTACTCTCCTGAAATCTCTCTGTTTTCCTTGTATGTCTTCCGTTTTCTTCTTCCTAAATTGATTAATACAACAATTGTGAGGATTAATGTGTGGCTTCCGTGTGCTTCTTCCTAAATTGATTAATACAATATTTTATGAGGATTAATGTGTGAGCCTTTTTCTTCTAATTCTCTTTGCTTATAAAGCATATCGTACTTTTCCCCTTTGAACAAGCATTGGTTCATCTCTCTTCTCCTTGTAATACCCCATTGAAATTGGCTTATCATCTCCAAATTGACCAGACCCGAGTTCCAGTATCTCCTTCACCATGCAGAAAAAGAATTTAATTTTGATCATTATTAGAAGAAAGGAAATAGAAGGAGGAGTAAAAGTATTGAAAGAAGACTATTCTGCTACTGTACAATATGATGGTCAAGTATAACAATCTTTTTATTTTGAAGAGTTTGAAAGATTATTCTGATTCATCATAAATAAGGAGAATTGCAGAAGTCTTTTATGGAGATCTATGTAGGCATTTGATATATGTCTACTGCTATGTACAATACGAACATCAAAGAGTAATTTCTATGTTCGTGAGAGAGAGTCGCTCAAACTTGGTGAAGTTTTTTATTTTTTTGTCGAGCAACGGTATTTTTGTATGGCTTCTTCTTTTGGAATATAGGAAATTACTTTGTCTGTTTCATTATCTCAAGTTGTAAGATCAAACATAGTTGAACTTTGAGCAGGTATCAAAACTCGCCTAAAGCCAACATTATTCATTTGTTGTACCGGATATGAAAGATCTTAAGGACTCACTTAGCTACATTATGTGTTCTCTTTTTTCTTTTTAATTTTTAGTTTTATATTTTGTGATTTTATGTCCAGCAATAAGATCCACAGACTAACTACCAGCAAAAGTAGATGAAACGTTTAAGCATTTCGAACGGTAACTTTCATATATGCTTAGTAAAGTAAACCCCATTGCAACAACATGCCGGATTATCAGGCTGCTTGACTAAACTTTTAAGAATTAATTTGGAAAAGTGTGACAAAAATATATAGTGAGCGAGTAAAACTTTTTTAAAGATATTTATTTAGTCTTTTTGTTGTGGTGCCACCGCAGCTACTTCTTTTTATTTTTACTTCTTTGCCTAAAACAAATATATATTTGATGGTTTGATTTGACCTTTTTTTGGGAACTTTAGTTGTACACATTACTAGCTTTTTGATCAATCTCTTGAAAAAAAAATAAATTAATTTGTTTATTTTAATACTCCAGAATTATGAAAAGATATTTATAGATTTAACAGTATGTTATATTTAATTAAATAATAATAAGATCAAAATCATAAATTTATTATTTTCTTTTACAACACAAATTGACTAGTTAACAATAATTCCAAGAAAAAAAGTTAAGAAAGAACATATTGATTAAAACAATTGCACCTTTTTTATTCATCAAAATCACTTTACAATTTGACTGTTCAACGTGCTACCATGTCCATGGCCATCTTCTTCAGTCCTTACTGAACTTTCTTTCAATTCCCAAATCTCAGCTCTGAGTTTGGACACTGAAGTTTGAACCAATAAAACATGTCGATACAAATTCAAAGACCGCCCAATGAGTCATGGGACTGTATGTTACCGGGCCCACCATCCCGTTCCAACGGCGGATCCGTCGACATTTCTCCCGCCGGCCTCTTCGCTTATTCCTCCGGCAGCTCTGTTTCAGTCGTCGAAACTCATTCCATGCAACTCGTCACCACTATCCCTCTCCCACCCCCTACCACCTCCACTACCTCACTTTCCCCTTTCATTACCTCCGTTAAGTGGTCCCCACAGCCTCTCCCGCATCTCATCGACATTCCTCAACATCACCTCCTCCTCGCCGTCGGTGATCGTCAAGGCCGAATTTGTTTACTCGATTTCCGGTCTAAATCACCCACTGTTTTCTTCGATACCGTTTCGGGTTCCGGTTCTAAATTAGGGATTCAGGATCTCTGTTGGGTTCAAACTGGACCGGATTCGTGGATCCTAGCTGCTCTCTGCGGACCGAGTTTGCTCTCTCTTTATAATACTTCAACCGGTCGTTGTTTCTTCAAATACGACGCGTCGCCGGAGTATTTCTCGTGTATCCGTCGTGATCCGTTTGATTCCCGCCATTTTTGTGCCCTTGGGCTTAAAGGATTTTTGCTTTCAGTAACTGCGTTAGGGGATACGGAGAATGATGTCGTGTTAAAGGAGCTTCAGATTCGTACGGACGCTTCTGAATTACTGAAGCTAGAGAGAGATTCATCTTCATCTGCTACCGGAGGTGGTAATGGAGCTCCGGCGTCGGCTACATTTCCGACGTACATGGCGAAATTCGCGTTTTCGCCGCACTGGAGGCACTTGATGTTCGTGGCATTTCCAAGGGAGTTGGTGGTGTTTGATTTGCAGTATGAGACGGCATTGTTCTCTGCTGGACTGCCCCGGGGATGTGGGAAGTTTGTCGAGGTGTTGCCCGACTCGAATATTGAGGTTTTGTACTGTGCTCATCTTGATGGAAAGCTCAGTACTTGGCGGCGGAAAGAGTAAGTACTTAAAAGAAACTTTACTTGGCATGAGTTCGACATTGTAGTTGCTGATTTCTGTAGCTTTACGTGATTGACATGTGATTTTTAACTTGTTTTGGTGTATTGTACTATGCATGTTGGAGCATTTAACTTCAAACTATGAATTCTGTTCACTCTTTGATTATGATTTAGGATCAGTTATTGCCATGCGAATGATTGACTATATAGTTGACTATATTGACTTTTGCATTTGCCCGTGCGTGAACCTTAATGTTTCTTGCGACAAACTTAGAAGGTTATAGTTGTAGTTTTCCGATGAGAGGGAAAAATAAGATGTGCGAATACTTCAATTCACAAAGGTTGTGCTAAACTGCAGTTGTCGAGATGTTTAGGGTATTGATTCGCATCCACGAACATTCATTTGCTTTCCTTGTTGTTTCATGCGAGATAAAGTTGGATTATTTTTGGTGTTTTAGTTGTATAACCAAAGAGAACAAAAAGAAATGAATTTATCTTGATTTATGAGCACCTAAGGAAGGGTTTAAACATGTCCCACTTAGACCTCCAAATGCATTGAGTCCATTAGTGCGGTACTATGATGATTGGAGATGTTAAAAAAAAGGATGAGGTAGAACTAAAATCAGACCGAGGGAAATTGTCCCAAAGATCTATGTGCTCTAATCAATGTTGACTTTGCTAAGAACAAATCATAATGCAGATCTTTATAGGCGATAAAACAACTTCGTCATTGTTGTTATACTTACATTCAATTCGAAGTTTGTTCAGGTATTAGCTAGAAATTGTTTTAATCTAGTTAGAGACTTGTAATTCAGTGTGTGGAATTGTGAGATTTGGAGAACCTCTAACTTTAAAGTACACCTAATTTACCTTAAAGGACAAATTGTATAGTACTAAAACAAATTGAGCCCGGATAAAGCGGACATGGAGGATTCGTATACTCGTTCTCAACTAGTTCTGAATTTGAGGTTTAGTTAACTGATATTAATTGATCTACAAGCATCTCATAATAGGGAGTTTTAATCCAACCTTATATTCTTGAACTAACTTTGCAAGCTGATTAAGTTGGGGTTCAAGAAGTTCATAGTTGGGTTGATTTGTAGGTATATGTAGTATGGATTGTGGTGTTTCTTAAAGATATCCATGACTTAGCTCAGGAGCTCTTTGGTGTTGTGGTAGCCAGATAAATGTTGTTTTCAGCCTGAATTCACCAATTCCTGCGAGCACTCATATGCAATGCTCTTTTTCATTAGTCTATTGGTTAATTTTTCTTACCCTCGTAAACATTTTCTTTGTCCTTGTTTTCCATGACCGTGACTAGAAACTTTGATATTTGTGTTTTTTTTTCTTCTTGCATTATAATTACTGAATTCTTGTATTCATGGGAGTTCAAAGGGATAACAATCTGCATGTTGTCACAGCGGAGAGCAAGTGCACACAGTGTGTGCGATGGAAGAGCTAATGCCCTCAATTGGCACATCTGTTCCTTCCCCCTCAATTCTTGCAGCTGTTATCTCCCATTCAGTTGCCGCCCTTCAAAATATTGGCAAGCTATATTCAGATGCACATCATTCAGTTGATGTGGATTTTGATAATCCATTTGATTTTTGTGATGAATCTCTTGTTTTATCTAAGACTCGTTTGATCTCCATTTCTGATGATGGGAAAGTATGGAAATGGCTCCTGACTGCTGAAGGATCTGTAGATGTTCAGAAGGACATGACAAATCCAGATAATGTTGTAGAAGCCTGTAAAACTATACCTTCAGAGATTCCCATTGGTCACATCTCTGAGATTAGTACTAGCAGCAGGACCAGTCTCTCAAAATCCCCTACAAGCCAGGATGAAGTGTCCTTCAAGGTTGGTTGAACATGCATAACTTTGGTCATAAAACAATGTCGAATATCATGTTGGATTGCACTGGCACTGTACTAACAAAATTATGAACAATGGATTAACCACATTCACAGGCATAACTTGGGTATAAAATATATATTATTGACATCACTAGCTTAAGCACCCCCCCCCCCCCAATCTGTATATTTACAAAAAATATATATTGATAAAAAAACAAAAGAAAGGAAACTAGATTATATAGAAAGAAGAAGCAGATAAAACTAAAAGAGGGGATTCTGATTTCACTGGATTATACTGGCTTCAGAAAAGGGTATAAGTTAGAGAAGGTTCCATTCTGTTCTATGTTAATTACGGAAAGGACAAAGAAAAAAGTTCTTGCGAGTATACAACATGAAAGTGTCAGCTTAAAAGGCAAAAGCCATTATTCATGTACAACATTTCCAGCTTATATTTGAATTGAGGGAGTTTTATAGAGTGTACATTCGGGGATTACCTATAATCTCACTTTTATTGCTGCCTGTGTTTTCTGATACTTATATTGTTATCACTGAAGCACTTGCGCTGCTTGTACTTGGAAAGATTTGATTTATTATCCAAGCGTCTTGACTAGATATTTTAAATAAGAAGTGTTTCCATTACTATGATTGAGAAGACGGGGGAGCAACTTATATTAATTGCTTTCTCATCAAAGGTAACATTTATTTTGGGTCTATGGGGTGGAGCAAATAAATAGTAGGTAGAGTGTCGCTAAAGGTGGTACTTTTTTTGATGAAGTTGTGTATTAATTAAAAGGCATCCAGAAGATGCAATGATTACAAAAGAAAAGGAGATATCAGCTCCAAGGAAGGACAAAAACCTATTACAATACTATAGAGTTGATAAAGTCCAAGAAAAGGTCAGGGTTATACACAGGGGTGTGATTCACCCAGCAAAAAAGTAAAACTAAACTCTAGCCTTGAGTTTGTGTCTGACAGTTGAAATGCCATCAAAGCATCTTTGATTCCTTTCTGTCCATATGCACCACAAAATAACAGCAGGAACCATAGACCAGATTCTCTTGATGGACTTCTCAACTTTTCAGGAGCTCCAGCTCACAAAGGCATCCCTGACATTGCGTGGCATAGTCCATTGTAGACTAAAAAGTGAAATAAACATAGACCAGATGTCTGTTGCAACTGTACAGTGGAGGAACAGGTGATTGATTGTTTCATGATTGCTAAGACACATATGGCATCTGTTGGCAAGTTGGAAACCCCTTATGAGAAGGTTATCATGAGTTAGGCAAGCACCCTGTAGTGTTATCCAACAGAAACCACTAACCTTAGGGGGAATTTTAGTCTTCCAAATAACCCTCCATGGCCACTGATCAATCAATGCTTTGTTAGTGCTCATGTTGTAGTAGCATGCTTTGACTGAATAGGAACCACCCCTACTCTTGCCCCATTTAAGTCTATCTCTGCCTTGGTTGTTGATGGAAATGTTCTGAAGGCTGCCAAGTAGAGCTAGCAGATCCTCTATCTCCCAATCATTCAGGTTTCTCCTTAATCTTGGGCTCCAAGTGTTCTCCTCCCAGTTTTGAGCTACTGTAGAGTTTGAGTTAGATGCAACTGAGAATAGTGTTTGGGTAAGCATCCTTCAGAGTGCTTTGACCAGTCCAAAGATCCTTCCAAAATAGAATGTGTTCCCCACTGCCCACCTGGAGAGTTGTATTAAGAGAGAAGGTATTCCACAGCTTCCTGATACCCTTCCATAGACCACAACCATAAGGTGTATTAACCATATTGGAGCACCAATGACTATCACTGCCATACTTAGCTTGTACTACTTCCTTCCATAGACTCATTCCTTCTTGATTATACCTCCAAAGCCATTTCATCAACATGCTCTTACTGTGTAGTGACAAATCCTTAATTCCTAGACCCCCAAGTGATTTGGGAAGTATTACCTTATCCCATTTCACAAGATGGAATTTGTGATCTTTGGAATTACCTTCCCATAAGAATGAGCACCTGAGTTTATCAAGCTGCTTTCGAACTTTAACTGGTAGAGGAAATAGAGACATAATGTAGGTTGGTAAGCTATCCAGTAGTACTGATTAGAGTTAGTCTGCCACCAAAGGAGAGATACTGTTGCTGCCAGGAAGCTAGCCTTTTTTCAAAATTTTCAATAACCCCATTCCATACCTCAGTTGATCTATGTCTAGCCCCCAATGGAAAGCCTAGGTAAGTGGTTGGGAATGAACCCGTATTGCAACACATGATCTCTGCCAACACCTCCAGGTTAGGTACACAATTAATAGGGTATATGACACTTTTTGACATGTTAATGTGTAGCCCAGACAAAGCTTCAAAAATCATCAATGTGATGTTGAGATATTGAACTTGTGACTCCTCTGCACCACAGAAAATGAGAGTATCATCGGCATATAATAGATGGGACACAGAGACTGAAGACTCTGGTCTACTGCCAATACCAAATCCCTCCAACCATTGTAGTTGTTTGGCCTTCTCCAACATTTTGCTCAGACCCTCCATTGCTCGGATAAAGAGAAAAGGGGATAAAGGATCCCCTTGCCTTATTCCTCTCTTAGGGGAGAAAAAGCCAACAGGGCTTCTATTCAGTAGGATAGAGTTCTTGACAATATTCGCTAAAGGTGGTACTTTGACGTCCTCCAATCTTTTTTTTTTATTATGTAAAAGGTGCAGGCATCATATAGACAAATATATTGGACTTACTGATTGCGTGCAAGGGTTAAAATGAAGCAACCTATTTATAGTTAGGCACAACAGTAATGTAAAATTCAAGACTTGGTGTCCCAGTTACTTGAGTTGCGTGAGCTCTTTTCATAGGGCTTCCTTGTCAACCAAAAGAGTTGGCTCTATTCCTCGTTCTTTCACAGTTGAGTGATAGGTTTTACAAGGTATACTTTTTATGTTATACCTGCACAAATAGTGGAGAAAATATTCATTCTGGTCATTCTTGCTGGGATGGAGGGTCTCCTTTCATTGGTTGACAGGGAAAAAATGAAGCATGTGATCATGGGCCCTTAAATAAATGATTGATAAACTAATTTCTGTTATGAAAAAAATTATATTGTGGATGTCCATTTATTACTGCGCTATAGATAATCTTCCTGAAGAAGATTATCCATTTAGTACTCTGTTGAAGTTTATCTACAAGCAGCTGATGCAGGCAGGTTGCAAGCAGCTCAATGAAATGATTTGCAGCAGCTTCTTATTAAACAGGCAGGTTGCAAGCAGCTCATGTAGACAACTTACAAGCAGCTAAAGAAAAGCCTCGCAGTTGCTTCCTGAAAAGCCTCGCAGCTGCTTCCTTTCTTCTATAAATAGAGGAGTTTTCAGTTCATTATGTACATAAGTTTGAAGTTTTAATATATTAGTTTCTCTCTATAATTGTCTTTACTTTACAGTTTTTATTTTATAACAATTTCTTCCTTTGTCTTAGAATTTAAGCTTTTTTAACTATAGCTGAAGGCCAGTTTACGATTGCAGATTAGTCTAGTGGGACAGCTTCATCTTCTTTCTTCAGCAGTGACTATGCTGGCCGTACCTTCCCCTTCTTTGACTGCTACCTTGGGACGTAAGTATATTTGTGGACTGCTACTTTGTTTGTGTTATATAAAATTTATCAAGTTTTTGGACGAGGTAGTGCTGCTTTTGCCACTAAATAGCTTACAATCATGAAGGTGGAGGAAACTCTCCAGCTGTGGCTGTTCCGCTGGTTGCTGTGGGAACTCAAAGTGGTACAATAGATGTGATTGATGTCTCTGCCAATGCTGTCACCGTTAGCTTTGCAGTCCATAACAGTGTTGTCAGGGGATTAAGGTGGCTTGGCAATTCCCGGCTGGTTTCTTTCTCGTACTCACAGGTGACAAACATGTACAGTGGAAAGTTCACTATTTCCAAGGCTAAAACATTATGTTTGCATCTTCTTCTCTACCTGTTCAGTGGCTTCTTTAGCATTTCTATCAAGGAGTACTCTTCCATTGCATATTCTTTTTTCCGTTGCATATACTGTTTGTTTTAGGTAAAAACTGACTCAAATCGATTCATGAATATTCCTAAATATATTAAGGGGCTATTTCACCCTCAAATGCAAGTGAATTATCCTCCTTTTTCCTCCCTTTTTTGGGTTATGTTAAGATTTGAGTATCTTTTGCAACCGCATGAAGCACAGGGAAATTCATTAGTTTATATATAAAAAATGAATGTCCTCACAAGGAATCTTCATTTTGGACTTCAGGGTACAGAAAAAGCAGGTGGCTACATCAATAGGCTTGTTGTGACATGTCTTCGAAGTGGACTCAATCGACCATTTCGAGTTCTACAGAAGCCAGAGCGAGCACCTATTAGAGCTTTAAGGGCTTCATCTTCTGGCAGGTGCATGTGTCATCCCGTAAATATTGTGTGCATGAAAAGATGAATTGCTTTTGTTTCCCCGACGCAGTAAATTTAACGAGATCTTTACTCTTTAAGTGTTAGTTTACAGCATGTATATAGTGTAGTATTGTCCCACATTGGTAGAGGAGTAGTATGTCCTTGTATAGTATAGCTATAAATAAGGACCTCTTGTATTGTATTGTTCATTCAATATCAATAACATATTTTCTCCCGTGCCTTCTCACATGGTATCAGAGCAATTGTGAGAGACTTATCGCTGTGCATAAATTTCAGCGATTCCGGGAAAGAGAAATCAGTACTTTTTTTAAGGTTGTTTTCTATCTGCTTCATTACTGTCAGTGTTGTGCAAAATCCAACACTACCACAAGAGTCGTCACTGTCCGGCGACCAAACCCTAGTGAAAAGCTCCGGCAACAGCCTCCTCACGCGTCTCCACGCGCCACCAGAAGCTCACGCGCCGGCGCGTACGACCACTTCCAGCCATTTTTTGAAAATCTTCCTTCAGAACAGTTGGGTCGTCTGGTAATTCCGATCCTACCCCTAGTGTTTTCATTTCATTCCGACAACTTTGTGTTTTTCCGGCAGCTACAGTACTATTCCGACAGCTACAATAGATTCCGGCAGCTACAGTATTTCAGTATTCTGTTTCTGTGTTTCCGTACTCTGTTTCAGTGGATTACAGTTGATTCTTTCTCTTATTTGGTAATAATTTGCAACAATGTCTTTGGGATTTGATGCTTTTGGGTCTAGAAACATAGTTCTGGAAGCTCTAGTGCTATTATTACCTCGGAACCTTTAATGGGAGGTTCAAACTACTTAGCTTGGGTTTCATCGTAGGTGTTCAAGATCATCTAATCAAACAGTCTAGCGATGGAGATGAAAAGGCAATAGCACTTTGGGCAAAAATTGATGCTCAGTTATGTAACATCTTGTGGCGATCTATTGATTCCAAGTTGATGCCCTTATTTCGTCCATTCCAGACATGTTATTTGGTTTGGGCAAAGGCACGCACCTTATACATGACATATCTCGCTTCTATGATGTGATATCACGGATGACAAACTTAAAGAAGCAGGAATTGGATATGTCTACTTACTTGGGTCAAGTACAGGCAGTCATGGGGGAATTTGAGAAGTTGATGCCAGTTTCTGCTAGTGTGGAAAAACAACAAGAGCAGCGACAGAAGATGTTTCTCGTTCTTACCCTCGCTGGACTTCCTAATAATCTTGATTCAGTACGCGACCAGATTTTGACTAGTCCGACTGTCCCGACAGTTGATGAATTATTCTCTCGATTACTCCGCCATGCCCGACAGGTCTGCAGGAAACACATCCGGGAAATCTCGCAGCACCAGAACAGAATCAATAGCAGGGCCTCTGCACTAACATCCCTCACAAAGGCCAGATAAGATAGACAACCTTTCTTAACCATCCGCTGAGCTTTCAAGTATGAAATTATTCTACTGGGAACATAGTCTATAGAGCCGCTCCACTAAACCCTCGGCAACCCCGGCATCGCCAACGTCACGGTCTTATCGTGATAATCTAGAACAACATGACATGGAGACAACCAATCCATACCCAAAATCACGTCAAAATCGACCATACTAAGCAACAAGAGGTCCACTCTAGTCTCCAGACTCCCAATAGTCACCACACATGACCGATATACACGGTCCACAATGATAGTATAACCCACTGTGTGGATACAAAAACAGATGCAACTAGAGACTCACATGGCATAACCAGATAATGAGCGAAATACGAGGACACATATGAATAAGTGAAACCAGGGTCAAATAATACAGAGGCATCTCTATGGCAAATTGAGACAATACCTGTAATCACAGCATCCGAAGCAATGGCATCTGGTCTGGCAGGAAGAGCATAGAAACGGGCCTGGCCGCCCCCTGATCAGCCTCCCCCTCTCGGGCGACCCCTAGCTAACTGGGCTCCACCTTGAGCTGGCTAAGCGTGTGGTGAAGAAACTGGTGCTAATGTCATAGACTGGCTCCTCTGCTGAGCCGGACCTCCCGTAAGGCGGGGACAATGTCTCCTAATTTGGCCAAACTCTCCACACTCATAGCAACTCCCCGGTGTTGGTGCTGGGGACTGAAAGGAGCCCTGAGCACCAGGATAACTGGTAGAAAGACCTGGCATAGATGAGCCCTGACCCGATGGAGCACGGGACGAACTCTGAGCCGGGAGGGCACTGAGAGATGAATGGCCCTGCTGATAACTGTGTGAACCATGGCCAGATGATGCACCACGGTGAACTAGGCGAGCCGTCTAAGCATGTCTGAAAGGACGACTCCTACCGTGGTAGAACTGCCCCCAGAAGGAACACCGCTAAATCCACCCTGCCCACGAGGCCTCTTGGCCTCTCTCTCAACCCGCTCCTAGCTGTGAACCATCTCAATCTGACGAGCAATGTCGACAACCTCATCAAAAGTAGCACCGCAACTGAAAAGTGAGCCATCTATGAACCTCCTGATACTCTCTCTATCTGTGGGAACCAACCAGATAGCATGACGGGCCAACTCAGAAAATCTCATCTCATACTGCGTCACGGACATATCACCCTGATGAAGCTGCTCGAACTGCCTGCGCAGCTCCTCTCTGCGGGACTGAGGCACGAACTTCTCCAGGAAAAGAACAGAGAACTGCTGCCATGTAAGGGGTGCTGCGCCGACCGGCCTATGCCTCTCGTAAGCCTCCCATCAACTGAAGGCAACCCAGAGAACTGAAAAGTAGTGAACGAGACCCCACTGGTCTCTAGAATACCTGCCGTACGGAGTATCCTTTGACACCTGTCCAAGAAACCCTGTGCATCCTCTCCCTCTGCACCACCGAAAGATGGAGGTTGGAGCCTCCCAAACCTCTCCAATCTATGCTACTCATCCTCAGGCATAGCAGGAATAACATAATCCTGAGCAGCAACAACCAGTAACCGGCTGGGCTGGTGGTGCCCCCGATGTCTGGAATCGCTGTACCACCTGCTCTGGTGTGCGGGCGGCGGGAGTCTGAGCGCCTCCCCCGGCCTGAGAAGTGGCTGTTGCGGCCGGAACAGAGACCGCCTGAGCAAGACTGGTACACGCGGTCAGAATCTGAGCTAAGGCCTCTTGAAGGCCTGGAATCGCAATGGGTACGGGTGGTGCCGGAGCTGGTCCCACAGGCTCGTCCACAACTGGAGCCTACTCCTGAACTGGGGCAACTGGTGGGTCTGCATGTACTGCCCCAGCTGCCGTCCACCAGTGATCTCATCACAGATACTTGATTCCTCTGTTCTTGCATCCCAGACAATGGATGTTCGGGCATCTCAAACTATGGAGCATAGACGAGGAGGAGGTCGTTTTGGAAGATCTAGACCCAAGTGTTCTTATTGTCACAAACTTGGACACACTCGTGAAATGTGTTATTCCTTACATGGTCGTCCACCCAAAAATGCTTACATTGCTCAGACCGAGACTCCAGGTAACCAAGGATTTTCTTTATCTAAAGAAGAATATAATGAGCTCCTTCAGTATCGAGCAAGTAAGCAGACATCTCCACAAGTAGCCTCAGTTGCTCAGACTGATACTTCTGTTACTGGTAATTCTTTTGCTTGTGTTTCCCAGTCTAGTACTCTTGGCCCATGGGTCATGGACTCAGGCGCTTCTGATCACATCTCTAGTAATATATCATTTTTGTCAAATATTGTATATTCACAGTCTCTTCCCACTGTTACTTAAGCCAATGGATGTCAAACTAAGGCAAAAGGAGTTGGACAAGCTAATCCCTTGTCTTCTATCAC